AGTTGTGCTACACACTGGAAAGATGTAATATAAGATCGTAGGACATGAAGACTGTCTTTAAGTTAGTGGTTCTCAACTGGTGGCCACAAGATAATTTAAATGTTTGTATAACTCCATTATTAATATGATAAAAAATTAAAGCATGACCTCTTCCATTTTGTGATTGTTTAGGAGGAGCCCAAGCCACTTCTTGTGCAGTGTGAAATACAGTTCCGATACAAGTTTTCACAAAAACAAAACGTTTCAGCCTTTAAAACATTTTTAAGAAAATGGGCGAGTCAAAAGTATTAATTACTATATTTAAACAATTATAAACAAAATGATTATATCAATTAACAAATTAGGGGTGTGCGATATTGACAAAAAAAAATTCGATAATTTACATGAATTTTATCGATAATGATAATTACACAATATTTTGCTGAATGTGTTGTGCTGATATCTTCTCTAATTGTGCTGACATCTGACTCCTGAATTTTTGATATTCTTCATATTCTGTGTGGTCAGTTCACAGCAGTGATAGAAATTAATCATTTCCAACCAGTTCTATGGGCATTTTTACCTTTAAGCCATTTTTTCTAAAAGTGTGCACCATCTTTTGTGTCAAACTCTTGCATTTGGGTTGTTACCAAGCAAATGAAATCAGTATCAACAAAACTGATCTTTGCAATGCAGAGGAAACACAGAAGCTGCATTAGAAGTGGCATTTAGATGCATTTACACAGTTTAATGCAGCTCTGAGGGACATTAAATACTTTAACCTGCAGTTACAAATGCATAAATGCTTTGATATCTTAAACATAAAACATTGAAAACTGATGTTGCACATCACAGACGACAATGTTAGCATCCGATAATTTTAACTAGGACTGCACGATAAATCGCATGCGATATTTAACGCGCATCTTGTCAGAAAGCCGGTTCTGTAATCAGCGGTAAATCTCCATCACGTGCATGCTTTCACATTGAGCAGCATTAACTACACAGAGCCATTGTTATAACTACACAAGATGCGCGTTAAATATCGCATGCGATTTATCGTGCAGCCCTAATTTTAACTGTTGGAGAAAACTGGTTAATTTTAAGCTTGTGTGCGCTATTTTTATCTTCCGGGTTTAAAACCCGCATTGGGTTGACGTCACAATTTGTGACACGGCAATGGACTAATAGTACATCGATGACACGCCAGTGTCTATTAAATTATTCATGAGACTGCGTGTTCTTATCCTATGAGAAGACGCTTCGCTTAATTATTCACAACAGCATGTGTTGATTTGCTATGACAGACGTTTCAGACTGTGAGATGGCATCGAGCACCTGAGAGAAACATTCATGGACTGAAGTAGTGTTTCTTTTGTAATAAGAGTTCGGCACAAACGCGATTCATTCACTTGGTGAGCATAACCGTTTTTACAGCTCTGTGACACAACCCATCAAAAGGCTTATATAAACGCCACAGAATAAGCCTTAAAAGTTCTCAGAGGTGCAACAGCGCGTTCATATATATGTTTTCCATGCAGAGTGCAAATGGCTGTGCATTTATTTTAGTTTTTAACTCTATGGGAGCGAAATGAAACCGTCTGAATGCGAAGCTGTGTGTGTTGACAGTCACCCCTCTTCCCCCTCCTCCGCTCCACACCCACTTTTTTAAAACTGTGGTGAGAACTAGCCAGTGCTGAAATGGGGGGGTTTCATGACCCTTTAAGTGTAATATCATAACTCACTATGAATTAGTTTGAATAATAGGACTAGGTGTTATGATCCCAATATTCAGCACTATTTAGCCACACCATAGAACATTTGCTCAGAGACACAAAACAGGCTGTGTTTGGAATGATTTTTGTTGGAGAAATGGAGCAAAAACAGGAAATATGGGGTCTACATCGTAAGTCTCTTAATATTAACTTCTTTATTGAACTGTTGTATAAAATCAATATCACATTTGTAATCATGCTGACTTTGAGAAAAAAACTTTTAGTGTGATATTAACTATATGAAATGATAAATATATACATTTTCGGCCCCATATCGTGAATTGTGATAATTCTAAATGCATTTTAATAGACTGATTCATGCAGTGAAAGAACTCACTATAAATGTGCACGCGCAGTAGTCTAACCTGCTAGACTTCATCTAATGTATGCGCGTACTCTGTAGGTGTTTCGTTTGCTTTTCGCGATATACTCGATAATATCAAATCGCAGTTAAAACAACAATTACGATATTAATCGCAGACCATACATATCGCACACCCCTATTCTGTTTAGATTTTTATAATGCATCGTCGTCTTATCAATCCACCAGTTCACATTTAAAGCGCTGCGTGTTTGCAGGGTAAAAACATGGGTCGATTTTTGCATTTGTCTAAACATCAGTTTTATTGAAAGTGCTCATTCATTCTGACAGCAGGTGGAGCGTTTGTTAGAAATATAACTGTTTCCCCGGTAACAGCAGAACACAGAGCAGCGCAGCACTGGACTTTGAACGTGCAGCGCTTGTTTATTTCATGAAATCATAGCCTTTTGAAGTTTAATCGTCACATTCAGCCATATCGCAATTCTGGACCTCTTGAAATCATTAAGACTTTCTTGTACAATTTAAGACTTTAAGACCCGCGGAAACCCTGTTTATGGAGTTAATAAAGTGGTCTGTTGCGGATATGAGATCTTTTTGGTGTTATAAAAAAAAAAATAGCATTTGGTGTTTGTGTTTTTTGTGCTTGTTCTTGTTTGTTTTGTTTTTCTATGAAGATCTGGCAACACTGACACCATTGCAGACAAAGTCCCTTTTCAAGAAAAGTCTGTTCACTCAGCCACTATATTTGCAACGCCTCCGAGCAGCTCAAACAAGACCAAATCCTATCTAAATGAATGGGGAATCCTGAAATCTTTCATTTAGAAGGCGGGACTATTTCACCATTTTGCACATTGCAGTTTCTCCCATTCATAAATATAGGAGTGAACCATCTTTGTATTTCTATAATCTGTTGCAGGGCTCGTGAGTGCAACTAGCCCAGTGTCAAAATGTGCTAAGGTTGACTTCTTTCACTGTTATTTTCTTGCATCTCGCATACAGACACTTTTCTGATGCACGTTCAAATACGTCATTAGCAACTAGTTGTTCAGTTCAGTTCTGTACACACCGCATAGAATTTCTGTAAATGCGGTTGTCACTACCTGTATTTTTCTGGAGTTAATGCAGTTGTCGAACGCGGTTGTTATGCCCGTATTTTAGTAAATTATGTTCAGAACGTGATTAAGGAGTAAAGGGTGAACCGACAACTGAATTTAGCTGCAGTGTACACATGGCCGGGATGTAACGATTCACTCAACTCACGATGCGATACGATTCACGATTTTGATTTCACAATACGATTTCCACGTGATTTTTTTTTTTTTAAATACGAGTTCAGACAAATTATACAGCAAATGAAATTGTGTCCTGCTTTTATTGCTTGGACAAAATACTGCACAGTTCTTTGTGAAATTGAAATATAAACGAAACAAAATTGAAATTTGAATGTCTTCAAATCACCACACATCGCGTCTGTCTATAAGCGAGCTGCACGTTGCACAGTTGACACAGGAATGGTCACGTGCACAATTGAGGCAGTGTCACATTGTCACTAAAGTTTATAAATTGCATTACTTTTTAATTCTTGCCAATGTTTAACTATTCAGAGCTCACGCGCTCTCCTGGAGACAGTGCGCTCATACACACTCGCAGCGCGCACACAATGCCAGGTTCACATTACTCCATTTTGCTGTGAGTATGTGGTGCGTATTTTTGTAGCAATTACACCATAAATGCATACTATTAAAGTCTCCTGTGTTCCAGTCAACACATATGGCTTTTTGGCTAGGTTTAAAGAGAAAGAGCACTTTTAGATAAAGGCGGCAATAAAAGATGGCACTCGTGGCAGTAGGAAAACAAAGTTCTTTATGAACCGCAGGATTGCTTGTAATAAAGATTTAAATGCAAAAGGCAGTAGAACTGACTATTTCGGTCAATGGTAAGTTTGTGATAACGTAAGCAAAGTAGTTTAAATATTTTGCCCCTTGCTTGAGCAACTTAATATTAATCTAGAATTAAATGCAAAAGTAAAAAGCATTGCATGTGTTGCTTATATTTATTGTGTTTAAACATGTCTGTGAAAGATTGTATTACTGTACTGTGTAAAAAAAAAAAAAAAAATTGAAATGCTGAAAAAGCATTTTCAGTGACAAAGTTTGGATTTGAAATCAAAATAATGGATAAATGTTGTGTTTGTGGTACACAGCCACGGATCAGTAGCGGACTCCTGTGTGAAAGCACAGTCCGTGCTGCTTCCCCTCTCACAAGAGACACCTAAGAGGGGAATTCCCCCCATTTTCAAAAATGAAATTCAGGCCATTTTTTGGATATCTTTATCTTTATAGTTATTGTTCTTGGTGTGAACGGGCCTTAACCCTCCGCACATTTTTTATATTTAGTTATATTGAAAAAGTTTAATTAGAAAAAGTCTTAGATCAGGGGTGTCAAACTCATTTAAGGTTGAGGGATGGATTTGTGCCCCTTGTGCGGGCCGAATTACCTTTTGTTAAACCCTAGTTTGCTCACAATTACATTAATACCAACT